ACTAAAAGCCACAGTGGCAAAACAAATGTCTCCACGAGAGAAACACCTATCTCAAGAACAGAAACAGCTTCAGAGAGATTTATGGCAAGAGGCTAACCAAACCAAGGCTTCTCTATTGTCAGCAACGGTGTGAAGAACTCCCTATTCCCTTTTCTTGCTAGACCTAGAAGACATCTGGATAAGCTTGCACTGGCACGTAGGTTTCCAGAGCCTTCCTTTCACACAAAGATGTGAAACCACCAGGATTCTTGGCTCTCCTGGAAACAAAATCAAGGAGAAAGCTTTGGAAGACATCCAAGGCAAAGCAGAGCTTCTCCTTCATCTTTCCCACAGAAACTCTGCCCTATTCCCCCTTGAGCTGAGGCCACGCCACATTCAAGGAAACAACAGCAGACGTAGGGCCCTACCTTCTTAAGCACAGATGCCTTGTAGGAATTGGCCATTTTACTGGCTTGGAAAGCTTCATACTCCAGCTCCACAGCACAGGCATGAGGGTCTGACCTGTAACACAGGCTGGGGTGATTTCTGGCAAGACACATTTCTATGTCTGCAGAGGGAAACTAATGCTTAAACATCTCCCTGAAAGTACAAAATTCACTCCCTCCTGTGCAAGAGTAAGTTACAAATTCCAATCAAGTCCTAAGGGATGCAGTGGTGAATTGCTGGAGAACAGAGGGGTAGTGAAAACAATCGTAAATCAAAGTCTCCGTCAAGTAACTGTTTGAGAAGTACACTGTCCCCATCTTGTGGGGCAGGAAAGAATTGCGACTCCTAGGATCAAGCTGGTTTAGCAGAATCAGACTGAACAGCGCTACAGGAAGGATGCTGTTAAATGAAAGTATATCCTTGGACAAAATAACTTAAACATTTCCCGAGGCTCAGGGAAGAGTAAGCCCTGTGTTAAGGGACTCAATAGGCTGCCCCTTTTTCTCTTATCTCATACCCTTTTCCTCCTGCTGCTGGAACCTTTTGATTGGAGCTCAGAGCTTCTTCCAGCATCTTCAAACAGTGTTCCCGCCCCTAGGAAATATGGGATACTTAGACATGCCCTTCGGATTTCCATCCCTGAAGGAGTAAGAACAGGGAAGGCAGAGACTTTATTGGCCTTTGCAAGTCAACAAATCTGAATGTTAACCAGCCTTTCTTACCTTCACTGTGAGCTTAGAGATTCTCCTGCTGGAGGCATCCTTCAAGGGGCAGTCTGCACCTACCACAGAAGAGACATTTGGAAAAGGTGCCATGGCAGGGCTGGGGCTGATGGAGAACATCTCAGCTGGCACTGGGAGGGTGCCCAGTCCAGTACTGCCTGGCATAGTCACCCCAAGCACCACCACAGTCACCCTTTTTACCTGGAGAAGCTACGAACTCCAGAAGACTAGGCAGAAGCAAACGAGAGATTTTCCTCTCTGGATGAGAATATCTACTTTGCTAGTTTATGACTAACAACTTTCTAAGCTGTCCCCATTTGAGGGAACCCTTTCCCCGCCCTTGGGAAACTCAATCCTTTTCCGCTCCCCCCAAAACCAACCGAAAACCAAAAGAAGAGAGGAACATGAACTATCAGGTATTCTTTCACAATAGTGTAAGAATCGTGTTGGTAGACAGGGCCCCAGTCAGCACAAACAACGTTTTCCAGTAGTTTCCTTACAGCCCCATTGAATACTGCTGCATAACCACGGCAGAAATAGCCTACAAAGTCAGGTTAGACACAGTTTTCCTTCTCTCTTGCTTATTTGGGCAAGTTGTTCAGAAAGATGCATTCCGTATCTTCACCTCAACCAAAGCTAAGCTCTGACCCATCTCCTCTAGCCAAGCTTTGAGGGCCAAAAGCCTAACCTCTGTGCCTAGGGACTGATACCACCAGTGGTGATGCTCTACAAATTACACACAGCTGCAAAACACAAGACTTTCTTCTCTCAAAGAAAACCCACTATAAATCAAAGAACATATTTACTTGGAGGAACAAAATCTTCCTTTTCTGGTTCTTTGCCCTGGAAGAAAACACAGATCAGTTAAACATTTCCATTCCTGCAACACACATGCAGGTCTAGAAGCACAGAAGACACATTTTATACCCCTGCTCCAGGGAAAATTAATGCTGAAGTTACAAAGGTACTGAAAAGGCACCAAAATGGGGGAAAGAAGACAAAGAACAAGAATCAAAGTAAAAAGCTCACTTTCCTTATAGGGATATTTAGGAGAAGCTGAATGGGGAAATCTGTTTTGACTAGTATCAGAGGTATTAAAAGACACCAGGATTCTCCTGACTGGCACTGCAGAGAAATCAGTACCTGAATAAGCTGCGTTTCTTCCTACTATAGGACTGACTGGGAGTATGGAGAACACAGCAAAAGCAGAGGTACAAAAAGCAAAAACCAGAACAAGGCAACAGCAAGATGCAACAATTTTCTTTCATTAGTGCCACAAAGCTTTTCTGTCTGTAAGACCAGCCCAGAGTAAATAATCTGTGAATCTCTTACAAAGGGTCACCGACTCACTTTGCGCAGACTCATCTGCTTTTTGTAGAAGTTGTCCCACTCCCGTTTCCGACTCTCCTCATTGGCTTCATCCCCATTCCCGCTACTTTCTTCATCATACCTAGATAAGGCAGGAAAACGAGAGAAATAAGTATTTCTGTAACTGCAGCATTAACTGGAAAACAAGCAGAAGTCTGGCTCATCCAGTATTTACCGCATTTCACATCCTTCCTGAACAAGCCTTAGCTGCCGGTTTCACTACCACCCCCCAATCTGGACAGCCCTGAGCGTCCTCCAAAAATTCATGGGTTTGTTAATCTCTTTGAACTTTTAAGCAGCAGCATGAACTTGGAGCACATAACTAGTGTTCTGAGAATGGAGGGCTCCTTTCAGCAGCTCTGCCAGATTCTCCCATGGGTTTGAGGACCCTGCCTTGTATCGTGTACCCCATCTGTCCATCACTACTGCCCTGGGAGCACAGATGCCAGAAAGGGCAAAGCATCAGCTCCTCAGCCTCAGTTGTTCACACACAGTATTAAATACAGGTCCCATCACCAATACACTGAAATGCAGCAGCTGGTTCTCGCCAGATGTAACCCAAGAGTTTACTGCCTTCCGCAGCTGACACAGCCAAAACTTGCAGGTATCACAAATCAGAGCTTTAAGGTTGTTGACTATTACCATTTCCAAGGAAAAGCCACAATCAAGTCATGGAGGGGTTCAACAAATCAAGTGGCACACAGCGTGCTCTACAACAGCAGTGGCCATGTCTTCTCAAGGCGTGAGATCAAACACGGGCTCGGGTCACAAGTACACCACTGTCCTCTGACTCAGCCTGAAGAACAAAGCTACCAGCCTCAAGCTATTTAAGGTAAAGCAGAGGGCCAGGCCAGGCGACAGCGCCGCGCGCCCTGGCAGAGCTTCACGGGCAGCGCAGGCAGCGAAACTTGCATCCTGGCAGAGCTGCACAATAGCTGCAACTCAGCCAGAGAACAAGGAGGAAGAGTTTTTGTCTCCATGCTGCCAAGCATTTTACAGAACTAATCATGTTTCCCACTGCACATCTTCCTTTTGCTGTCAGACTCACAGGGAAACACTAACATTTAGCAATCTGCAGAAGCAGCTGACCCCAGCACTCCGTTATCTCCTCTGGAATGACTAAGTCCTGTCAGTGGCCCCCCAGCCTGCTGGCCCACAGACAGCTGTGCTAGGTCAGGAAGGAACTCTGGACCATGTCATACTCTGCTGTCACATTGGTCTCAATTTAAACATTTTTGATCTTTCTGAATGTGAATGGGCTGAGCCCACTTAAGTGCTTTCAAAAAAAAAAATCGAGCTAGTTTCTTGAACCAATTACATTCTGCAGGGCAATTCTTAGGCCAGTCAAAAACAGCTTTTGGCTCTCTGGGACATGGATGTCATTAACGCTGCCAAAGTGTGTGGAAAATGAAATTCCAGTTCCTGCTGCCAGGAAGTTACAGGAAAATACCACCACACAGAACCATGTGCTGAAAATAGGAGTGGCTGGGCTTGCAGCTGGGAGATGCTCTCCTCTCTGCTAACTCCTGTGAGCTGAGTCTGAGCTACCAAGTACAGACCTGCTAAAACCTCTGCAGCCTCTGCGCCCGCCTTCGTACAGCTCGGGGTCATAGCTATCCCAGGAGGAACTTGTGGGCCCGATGCAGGTTTTGCTCCAGCTGTTGCTGCAGCGCTCCAGGGACTCCAGTTGTCTTTTCACCACCCCTGGGTTCTTGCAGTAATCGCAGCACTTGTTACAAGGTGGGGTGACATCCCCAAAGTACTTTGCTATGGCAGCGTGGCGACATCTAGAAAACAAAAGGGAAGATGATCTGGTAATTATTTTTATTGACAAGAATTCCACCCTCCAAATGCGAGATGTTTTTTGCTAAAGACTTGAGCCTATTTTTGCGGAGAACGCCTATTCCAGCGGGAAACACAGGGATGAAGCCCTGGAGCAGAACTGGGGTTCTGTTCCCGGTGCCTTGCTTAAGGTCTTTCTGCCTCCACTTTCCCAGACATAAAACAGTGCCGTCAATCCTTCTGCTAAACGCTTTCAGGTCTTTGAGATCTGCAAAAGGCACAGTGGATGAAACATGCAGTTATTAATTCTGCATCGTTTGCCAAATATATTCCACATTCAATGAGAATGACTCCAGCATAAATATGTAAAGAGGTCGTGTTGATCCTTACACCTCAGAGTTCAGCGTATATCTGTGTATTTCACACTGGAGAGCTTCTCATTTTATTGCTTGTGGTTTGAAGAAATGGGAATGTAAATTAAGTCACAGAAATAGAGTCCAGACTGAGGTCACAACGGAGCACTATTCAGATAATACAGCCCAGGTCTTGACCTGCTGCCTCATCCTTCAGAATAGCAGCCAAAGTTCAGGTCGAGTCCTACACCCCTGAAATCCAGGCCATTTGCTCACACAGGACTGCACAACCAGTTCTACCAGCCTTAGCAAACTCGCCATGTGAGGACAATTAGATTCTTCCCGGAATCTTCAAAAGATTTCTGGCAGACAACACTGCTTTTTGGGTATGTAAACAAGAGTTTGGTGACAGAGATAATGCTCGTTAGCAATACAGGCAGGAAACAATTTTTCTTCTAGAACACACTCCCTAACTTAAATCAGTGAAGACTGATTTTCCTAGATAAAATAAAACCAGGTGATTACTTTTTTTTTTTAAAAGAAAGTGGGCAGAATTTATGGGAGCTTTTTAAAACTTCGGTTTCACAGCAGAGGTGGCCACTTGTCTCTTTGTCAAAATGCTGATACTAGATACACAGAAACACTTGCTTCATCAGGCATTTAGAGATGAAATCCTGCAGCCAAGCAGCAATAAGGCTTCTTTTACAAGTGAATTATTTTACTTTGAGGAAGAACAAAGTGGAGATTTTTCTTCTCTACCAAGGAGTGCCCTAGTTGCCTTACCTACCTCATCGGCAAAAAGTGGGTCACAGAGGGGAAAAGTAAGAGAACGAGCACTTCATGTGTTCTTGTTACAAACCCTTTAAGGCATGTCTGAACTTGCCAGAGATGTAACACATGCCGTTTGCTTCTTAACTTGTGCATGTGTCTGGGAGGAACACAACGGCCTGCCTACCAAAGCATCACAAACCAACCCTGCAAGGGTCTACGGCGGCAGCTGGTTCACTCCTTCCCACGGCCTGGGAGGTTAATTCCGCGAGCAGAGGAGCGAATGAAGCAGCAAAGCAGCAGGTTACAGACTGCTGTTGCCATAGCAAAGGAATGTGTGTGCTGAAGCGCGAAGGACCTGGCGCTGCTCAGGTAAGGAGGGCTGCCACGGCGTGAGGCTGCGCTGCACATCTCGGGCACCGAAAGCCCGAGGAGGGCTCTGACAAAGCTGGCTTTATGTCCCCCTGCAGGGCCACACTGACTCACTCACGCCTGGCTCTCAAAGAGCTCCTTTCACGTGGTGGGGAAGGCTGGGGGGACCAGGGTGGGGACAGCACATTCGATCCCCTTGTCCTGCCTTTCCAAAAGAACTACTGGGGCTGCCAGTGCAACGTGACTATAGAAATGTCAGCGAGCTGCGAGTCAGCTTTTTGTTTCCCCAAAAGAAAACAGGCCGGCATTCTCATTAGTCCATGTCTCTTTCTCTTTCACACGCACTGTTTATTAGAGTTAACTGATGCATACAGGAATGGTCAAGCCCTCTCCTCGCTCCTACAGCTCACTTGCCAGGGTTATGCTGGGGAGAGACAGCCACATACACCTCTGTCCCTTAACGCAAACAAGAGACATGCCCCAATGGGGGCTTTGGTGGAAGCAGAGGTCAGCTCTGAAGTCACTGCAATTGAAATTTTAAGTTTCTAACCCATGACGCTTGTAAAGCCGAGCCCTTTCCGTCCAGCCTCCTGCAACTGCCTCTGTCTTCCTGCAGAATTACCCAATTCGGGGATACAGCCCCACTTTAGCCAATAGTGCTCGTGAGTTGGGTCATAACGGAAATTCAGTTGCAGAACTCAGATTGCAGTCCTAGAATTAAAGTCAAAAGGCCCAAACCAGAGTCACTAATAGGGATGCTGGCAGTGGCCACCGGATGAATGTATAACTGAGCACACGGGGTCCTGAACCAGGGTTAAGCATTAACAGGTGGTGGGAAAACCTCCCGAGTCACACAAGCACCTGACTAATGCCCATGAGACGAAAAGGAGATTTACATAAATTAATGGTAGTTTGTGTTATTATACATGTCCTAAAATTATTTAATCTTTAAAATATGCAACTATATTATTTGCATCCCCCACCCTTCAACAGGAATATGTCTGAGCTGACCATTTTTTAAAGATCGTGGTCTTTAAAATGTCTAAACAAAATCATTATTTCAGATGAGACATCCTACCCTGATTTGACATCGTGGGACAGGATGAAGAGCAAACAACAATCAAGTTTATTAACATGTTTTTTCCTGTGGCAATACATTTCAGGAAAGTGCTGAACAGAGCACCTGGCTGCCTGCACCATGCCTCCTTGCGGCACTCCTTGCTGTGGTACACCTGGTACACCAGGAGCCCTGTCCCTGCAATGAGTAGAAGCAGATGGACAGTCAAAGAAGCAGCATCATGTATCCCAAAAAGAAGTTTTTCTTCTCCCAAAATATACCAGAAGAAAGCATTCCCTCACATGAACGAAAGAAGGGTACACAGCCCTATCAGAGGAGCTCCCTGAAAAAAAACCCAACCAACAAACCAGCAAGTCTTGGAATAAAGCCAAGAAACTGAAGCGTTTAAAAAGTCAAAAATCGTATGAGGACAAATTAGTTACGTAGCTGCCAGCTGCTGAACAAAAACCGTTTCATGAGCTTTATCAAGTAGAAGAACAGATGAAGAGGTTGATGAGGAGCTGCCATTTTGCACCTGTCTGCAGGGCTGTACCCTTTGTAACACCATCTCAGCTGCCCCCACCCTCTGAGCCAAGAGACGGGGTGTCAGCTGTCCCCAGAATACAAGCAGCCAGAGTCACAGCGGCACGGAGCGAAGCCAGCATCCTCCCTGCTGCCCCGGCAGTGGCACCCGCGGCCCGGCCGATTTCTGGCTTCAAAGAGCCCAAGAGAAAAGCTCCTTCCCCCGGCACTCGGGAGGAAACTGGGCAGCATGAAGAAAAGTTAATGGCTTTAACACCCGCCCGAACTATCGCAGGGAGACAGTCAGTTCAAGCTTCCCTCCAGAAAAAAAAAAAAAAGCTGT